ACAAATTCAAATAATGTTTTAATATTCCTTGGTATTCTCATCTGAACTTACAATAATACATGGGTAATGCTGTCTTTAACAAGATTTGATGATTTCGGATTTCGAAAGTGGTGGATCTCTGGAACAAGAGACTAGGAATTCATGTGGATGTCTTATTAGATCTGTCCCCCCCCCCCCCTATTTTTCACATGTACAGTTTGAGGCGTCTTTTGCCTTTTTACTTCCATCTTAATAGATACCACAGGTCAGTCTGAGTTTCAAAAATGAAACAACTGTGGATGCAGCTCATGGAGCTACTACCATTTTTTCTTGCCAAGGGACAGCACCAGCAGGGGACATGTAGTAATGTGACAGGTAGTCTCGCTGATCCTTTGCATCCTTCTAGGTAAGATGGCCGGTTAGAAGCAGCACCCCCTGCAGCTGTCGGTCAGTCCTCCATCCACCAGGGATCAGATCATGTGTGTCTGGATCTTCGCGGTCCACTTCTGAAATTGCGTGTGGGTATCTGATTAGGATGAGGTTGTGCAGGACACAGCCGCACATGCTGATCAGGTTGATAGTGTCGGGGTGCTGATCCATCGTCGTCAAGAAGCAACGGAACCTTTGAGACAAAATTACAAAGGAATTCTCCCCGACATGTCGGACACGAGACAACCTGTAGCTTTTAATGCGTTCTCGTGGGACCTGTGACCGATGGGAGAATGGTTTCATCATCCAGGTTCGGAAAGCAAAGGCGTCATCCCCTACGAAGTGATAGGGCACTGGCTGGTCATCATTAGGGAGTGGTTCTGGTTGAGGCACTCCAGCTCTGTTCTCTTCTACAGCATCATGCAGGGAACAGTTACTCCATGTTCCCCCATCCGACGCACCACTCTCTGCCCCAACATCTACATAGGGGAACTTGTAGGTAGCATCTGCCACTGCCATCAGAACAATGCTGTTGAAGCCCTTGTAGTTCTAGTAGTAAGAGCCAGCATTGGGTGGCTTCTTCATGGCGATGTGCTTGTCGTCCACAGCCCCTAGACAGTTGTGGTAGTTCCATCTGGAGCTGAACCTGGCAGTAAGTTCCTTCCACTCCTCTTCAGTTTTGGGGCAGCGCAGCACTTCGTCCTTGTAGACCGCGATGATGGATTTACACACCTCGGGTATGAACTTGCAGATGGTACTTGCTTCAACCCTGAAGCTGTACTGCAGACTTGGATAGGAATTTCCAGTGGCTAGGAAGCGGAGGGTGACAGCTAGCTTGAGGCCAACTTGAAGCGGTTCCCTCATGAATGGGGGACTGCTTCTGGAGGCTGGGGGTTAACTTCTCAACCATCTCTTGGAACAGGTCAGGTGTGATTCTGAGGTATTTTTTGTAGCCCCTTTGATCTTCCTTGTGGAGTTCAGTCAGTAAACTGTCATACTGTCCAAACTCTTGCCTTCTGGTCAACCATTCCCTGACCCACACTTTCCTTTGTGTCTTTCTTCGAGGTGGGGTTGCCTTTTCTTGCTCTTCTGCCTCTTCCAGCCTTTTCTGCTGCTCTTGAACAATGGCTAGAGCAGCTGCCAGGTATAGGCATCTTCTCTTCCCTACAATGATTGTGTCTCTGACATTCAGCATGTTGTCTCTTCCACAGCCAATCCAAAAATTACCAGGGGTTGGGGAGGCCCCCTTTTTATATGGCGTGCCCAAGTCGGCACGACACCGTTCGAATTGCGCAAACTCGTCGTGCAAATGCGAGAAGTGCGTAAACAATGCGCAAACTATGCGTGAACTCGTCGTGCCAGTTCGTGTCAATGTGGACACTGATGGGCACGCATTCGTGAACTCGTCGTGAACTATGCGTGAACTAATCGTGAACAGTGCGGGAGCCTCCCAGTTCGTGCCCCAAAATGGCACGACTTGCCACGACAAAATCGTGGCCAAAAGTCGTGCAAGTGTCAGCCTGGCTTAAGTACCAAATGGTAATACGAGATTTAATCAAGAAATCTGAATATTTCGTGTGATCATGATGTGCATCTCATCAAATTCAGCTTATGCCAACCCATGAAATATACACAGCCAGAACCCATGTGTAACTAAAGCACAGGGGTCGTGTGTAGCGCTCGGCACACGGGTCCTGTGTAACGACTGCACACCGACCATATGTCGAGACATATGTCTTCAGACGGAAAATTATTCCCTTTGTAGCGCCCGACTCGGCTCGACACTGGGAATCAGTGCTGACATGTACTTAACACAGCTAGGCTGCTCGACACGGGGAGTCTGTGTCGTGACATCTGAGCACAGGCTCCTGTGCTACGGTTACACATGGGTTCTGGCTGTGTACATATAATTTGAAGAAACTATTGAAACAAATTGAGAGCAGAAATTCAACCACGTACAAGACAGTACTCTCATTAGAATTTGACAATTCGCCTGTAAAGAGCGTTGAATTCCGGCGATCCACTCAGAAAACATCTCGGAGCATTGAAGGGGCCCCGTCACTAGGTCACCGGCCGTTGGAGTCCTCGGTCCGACCATGCTCGAGGCGCGCAACTGAGATTTTTGTGGGGGGGGGGCCCTCTAATGTGGGGGGCCCTGGGGCCTGGGCCCCATGGTGCCCCGTGGTTAATCCGGCGTTGATTGACGGGCTGAAATATTCGGAAAATGGTCTGCAGCCGTTCACATAATTTAACAAGAAAATAAACTAAATCTCATTGAAATAAAGGTGAAACCTTACCGCATCCATTCGTGATTTGATGAAATCAAACGGCTACGCGATATTTCTTTCGTTTTTAAAATACCCGCCAAACTGGAATTAGAACACGCACGTAATCAACCGTCACTTATACCCCTGTCAGACGGGGTGGCGTCCTTACTGAGCTGCTACGGCGACGGAAAATAGTCTCAGATCGCGTTAAGATCGCCATAGGCGTGGTAAAAGGGTGGTGGAAACGCCAGATATCGTCGCTAATGATCGCCGTGTCACGGCGTTTGTTTTGAGCATATTCAAAACAAACGCCAAGATTCTACGATCTGACCTGGAAAGCTGCGAGAACGTTGTGGGTCGCGAAGACAAGCGTGGTAACATCTCCATGAACGTAGTATACGCACAGTACACACTGTCTGCCACAACTCCGCCAAGCGTTCAGAGTCCCTAGGGCGTTGTCATGGCGATGTTACGATGATGTCACCACTGGTGCGCGATTGCACCACGTCCTCATGTCCATCTTATGGGGTTCCCACTGTGTTTATGGAGTTCTTAATACGACCATGGCCCGGTTACCAAGCTTGCATTACGCTCCTATGGCGACCATGTACGACTTACTACAAAAAAACCAGGTGATTCAAAGTTCATACATCAGTGTGTATGTCGGATCGTCATCTTGAAATTTTCAAAAATCTGACCAGCTGATATAGTCGCCGTGATTACGTGGTACAAACGCACGTGCAGTCACGATACAGAGAGAGAGAGAGAGAGAAATGGGGTTTAACGTCCACTCGACACAAACCAGGTCATTTCAGGACTAACATATGGTTTAATTTTATTTACATAATTCGCTTGCGCGTAGGGGTCTTTAGCAGTGGGAGGAAACCGGAGGACACGGAGAAAACCCACGAGGTTGGACAGGCGACCCTACTCCTTGCCACGTACAACCGGGGATTCGAAACCACGCCAGTCGACTCAATGACAGACTTTATGATACAGCGCGCGCACGCTAACCATTCAGCCATCCAACCCCCCGTCAGTCACGATACACGTAGAATACGTGTGGTAAGAACCCCCTGAGCGTGGTTACAGCGCCCCGGGTTCGCTGATGATCGCCGTTGCCAAGCCAATAGATCTCAATAGAAACGCCATAAGCGCGGAGAGGTCGTGACGAACGCGCCGTGAGAACGCGGTTTAATCGCACAGTTCGCGGTAAGAACGCGACTTTTTTTCAAGTTTGTAATTTTTTGGGGACATTTTCTCGCGTTGTGTTCACATTTTGCCTGCGACCTTGTGCATTTTCTGGTCGCCGTACGGTCACAGCAGTGCAGTAAGAACGCCACCCCGGTCTGACGGGGACTTCAGGAGATGTAGAAAAACTGTTCGGTAGGCTAACTGTTTCAGTGGCCCACTCTTCACTATTTGCATTATAATTACTCATTTTCATGCAAACTGCAGATAATATGTGTTGACAATTTTTCGTTTTAAGCTATTTTTATTTGCGCAAAGCCGGGAAGAATATATCAATTGTAGTGTCGGATAAGAAGCGCGTTGCGGCTGTCTAATTTACCCCCACGACAGCGCTGCGCTCCTTTTTTAATAGCATTTCATTTCTTTCCCCCTAAAACTGGTCGGGCACGTACGCCTTTGGATCCCTGTTATGAATAAATTATTTATTTTTGTGTCTAATTAACTTATTAATTGATGCAACTCGGCAAAGCACACCACCCTTCACATCTCACTAACCACCTACCCACCACCGCCATTATATTACCGAACTATCGGGTTGGATGTCAAGTTCTGAATTACTACACTGTGTATTCCACACTATAAAAGGGTACGTAAAGGAAGGGTGGCGATATCACCTCGGTGGAAGCGGACGTTAAATAAAGCTATTTCATACACAAAGGGTAACTGGCGTGCCTAGCACACAGCTAAAGTTATCTAGCCCCGAGCTTTGTATCCTACACACCTCATCTAATTCAAAATGTAACACTTTTGAATTACCAGAACCATCCGATATCTGTTTTTTTTGTTTTTTTTGGGTTTTTTTGGGTTTTTTTTTTTTATTTGTGTGTGTGTGTGTGGGGGGGGGGGGGGTAAATGTATCCTATTCAAAATCGGCCTGTTTATTTCGCTAACATTTGTTTTTTGTAGAGATATTAACAATGTTTACCAGTCTAAAATATTTAAAGTATTATCTTATCTTCTTACTGTTGTTTAATTTTTAAGTAGCATACCGAATGTGTCAAACTAGGAACATTTAAGATAACACATTGCCTTTAAAAAACAACTAAAAGGATTGTATCTTTAAAACATTGTTAGTCTTGGTAAGCACGGTGTCCATTCCCCATCTACCGTTCATGGTTAATTCAGTGATAATAACTAATATGTGCATCTTGTGAGATGGCGCAAGATTGTCAAGTGTCCATATTGATCCATAGCTAATCACAGGTAGGGTTATTCAAGTGACATACTTTACTTCTAAATTTGATTTTATTCTGATTTCATTCTTCGAGTTAAAAGGGTGTGTCGTGTATAAAGAGATCAATTCGATAGTCAATAGCGGCAAGTTTCCGAAAAATCAGCATGCCAATATGGCCGCCTTCAAAAAGCCCACCCGATCCATGGCATTCCTTTCTGGTGTTGAAAATCTGTTTATCTTTCATATGATTTGGTCTTTATAAAACGGCACATATACGATTACTTAATCATGACATAATATTAGATAGGCTAGTTGACCATCCTTACTTTATTTCTATATATATAGTAAACTGATAACGATTTGAGCACGTGATCCTTCGTTACAGCAAACAAAAAATATATCGGGCATCTTGACCTCACAAGGAGAAAAAATGAATGGGCTTTATTGTTTCAGTTTAAAATCAACGGTCACCGAATGAAATGGCAATCCTTAACTATATATTATGTGCTTCTATTGTGTGTGTGGTTGTTGCTGTAAATGTTCAAAATGGTAAGTTTGTTATCGCTTTAATATATTCAATGTTATGTGTGTTAATACATGTACTTAATGTTATGCATGTATACAGGCTACATGTATCTGCCTTATGTAGTAATATCGTCGTTGCGACATTGTTTTTAAATTTATAGACAAGGAATAGGTGTAAGATGGTTTAAACAATATTTTTATCTTTACAAATTATTCTCTATTGTCAGTATATTAGCTATGGTATGAGTTTATTTAAAACGCAAATTAATTGTTTATGAAATAGTTTGAGAATAACAGGATCTAAGTTCAAGGATAGGTTGTGTCAAAAAACATATGACTGAAAATTTACCTATTGCATTATTTGGTTTAGTTTGACCAATCTCTGTAATTATTTCGACATTATCTTATTTAATTTGTTTATAAATTCACTCTTCTTTTTGAAAAGATCGAAACGTATTTTTAAAAAGAAACTGACGCCGTCTTATTTGGCTATATAGTGTGTTTTGTTGGCAAATAGAAAATGAAAATAAAAATTCGTGTTAAAAGGAAATTTCACATTTCTCTTTAAGTTGCAACTTGTGGTTTTACAACTCAACAAGTTTCTGTAATCTTCAAATATTTTTCAAACTGATTTCAAAAGAAAGGCAACTGTTGCAGAACGTGCAATTATTTGATATATTCGACAGTCGGTTTTTGGACAGTGTTTAAATTGTTAGACAATAAGTATTTAACTAGATCATTTTCAAATGTTAGTTTATCAATTATTTGGAATCCCCAAAAATCACCTAATGCGATAAAAAGGGTGTTTTTAACAATATTAAAAGTAAATTGTACTTTAAAAGATTAAACACATCGCTATTTTGTAAACAAAAGCATAACCGTGAATGAAACCTTAAAATTAGAGTTATATGAAATTTTGGATTTGTGATAAGAACCGAACACAATTTACATGTCTTATGGGAGTTTTTGAATAATACTTCGTAATACATTTTAGGCATGAATCATTGGAATGCCCAAGGCACATGAACAAGGGGAATTTTAATTTGGAAAAAATTGATAACGGCGTTCTTATAACTGTACTGTACTGTACGTAACGTTTCGTTTCATAATATGATATTCCCGTTTTCATTGACCCAGTCGGTTCAGAAAGGTAGGACGTTAAAACCCATTTCATAATACTGGGCACTGAATGTTATTAGTAATCTAGATTAAGCTTACATAGTCATAGGTATAAAACTATACCTATGATAAACTGTGCAGGAGTATTAAGTCTGTATATGCACCCAACATGTAGGCCTACATTCAATTGCCCACTTTGCAATATCGGATATTTACAGATCTGGGTGGGACTGCCGAGTGATTTAATAATAAAATTGGCCTCACCGCGACTCCATTTAACCACATATCAAATTATCCTTTACATATACATATACCATCCTTAGTTTCTTAGAGTAGCGTATGCCAAACTGGAAACATCGAAACTGAAGCATTTTCTTTTCCAAATTAGATGCAATATTATGGAATGCTGTTCTATTAAGGTGCTTATGTCCCTAACGCATGTGCTTAGATCATAAAATCTGTCTAATGGCGTGGTTTGGATGCAAAACGTGAATGGGACAAGGCTTTCGGTCGTCTATCCAATCTCCTGGGTTTTCCACTGCTAAAGACCCCTACGCTCATGTGAATTATTGAATAAAGCTGTTCCACGTGAGTTCGAAATGACATAGTTTGTGTCGAATGGAGCTACGTCTGATTCAAACTTGAAATATTAATGAACGGTACGTTTTATTAAAAATTAAAATATAAAAAAGTTTTAGTAGAGTATTTATTTGCTACAAAAGATAAATTAATGATTTTTCGTAGTTAAGGTTGGCTGCAACACAATAAGCTTCTTTCTAAGGCAGTACTTTTATTGGTTGTATTTTAGAATAGAAAGATCTGAATTTTTTCGGCAACAAACACGATTTTCTCTGTAGTTTGAATATATAGTATCGGAGGAGTTCGAGCGTCAAAGGAATATCTTTTTGGGATGAAATATAAACCCTATTGTCGAATAATGTTTTTCAGACTATGACCTATGTCTACCAGGATTGCATGGAACTAACTGTACTTTAAATTGTAGCAACCATTGTATGCCAAAGGATGGTTTAATTTATTGTGATCAGAAAACCGGAAGTTGTAACCATGGATGTATTGATGGGGCTTTCGGCGTTACATGCAACAACCTCTGTCCACAACACTGTTTTACGCTAGTGTGCGATCGTTATTCTGGAAATTGTATGTCTGGTTGTCAAGATGGGCGTTACGGGGATAACTGTTCGCAGATCTGTAGTGCAAAATGTCGAAATAGCCTCTGCCACACCAACCGCACCTCCGGCCTTACAGAATGCTTAGAAGGTTGTATTTCGGGTTATACGGGGACATACTGTAGCGTTGCTTGTTCGAATCCAAAGTGTGAAGTCTGTCGATCTGAAAATATTTGTGACCAGTGTAAAGCGGGTTACTTTGGTGACTCTTGTGATCAAACTTGTTCTACGCTAATACCGAGATGCAGTCGATGCGACAGGAAAACTAGTGCTTGTCAACAATGTCAACAAGGTTACTTCGGCCCCACATGTGACAAGCGTTGTGATAACTGTTCAAATGGACGTTGCTCTATTGATGGGACTTGTACTGAGCAATGCAGCAACAGAAATTATGGAAGATTCTGTGACCAGCCATGTCCCTTAAACTGTATCCTGTTTACTGTAAACAACCGACCGGTACATTGCAGTAAGGAAAATGGCCTTTGTTCATTAGGCTGTAAGACGGGGTTTTATGGAAATCGCTGTGAACAGGGATGCAATGAAAATTGTCCAGTGCCTGTAGCCACACAGTGTAGTCCAAATTGTCCAGATAACACATGTCTTCAAATTGATGGCACGTGCTCCATGGAATGTCAAGGTAATCACTATGGATCACAATGCGATAAAATGTGCAGTTCTAATTGTAAGGTAACCTTAACCGGTGAAACGTGTGATCGACAAGGTCAATGCATTCAGGGTTGCAAACGCGGTTTCTATGGTCAACTGTGCACCGATGATTGTCCAGCAAACTGTAAAAATGACGGAAAGAGTAGTAATATATGCGATAGTCTATATGGTCGATGTTCAGCAGGATGTAGTCCAGGTTGGTTCGGTTGGAAGTGTAACTCTCCTTGTTATATGAATTGTGCGCCAGTTCCGGAAGGTAAAACAACTGTTATAGACTGTAGTAAATCAAGCAACTGTTTATTTGGTTGTCTTACCGGATGGAAAGGTGACACCTGTGGTAAGTAATGCGTTGTGTCATTTTTATACACGAACATCTTAGCGTTAATGGATTATCTCGCCCAAAGTCCGTAGGTGCGTCAATAGTTGGTTTATGAACGCGATAGAAGCTATAGTGAAGCATTGGGGTCATGAGGAGACGTACCCTATCGATAGTCGGCGTTCTGCCAACTCCTGTTCATTTTGCCTGTTCGGGGATGTACTGCAGATGGAAATTGAAGCTTCGGGAGCCCCAGGAGAACCGCGTAAATTTCAGTGCTAGTTGTTCCTGATGTGTTCACTACGTTTAATCATGTTAATAGAAAGTTACATCTTATTATGGCTGGCTTACGAGTGCAGCGGGAATTTCTTGCTGGGGTATCTCAGTCTTTTGCGTGGTGGCATATCGGCGGCACTTACGGAAATGATCGCTGATTCAAAAAGATAATACCCCCCCCCCCACACACACACACCCAATAACCCTCTAACCCTTCTCAGAGTCACCTGGGATTGTTGGCACATACTCACAGGTGCATCCCATAATTTACGGTGATATTTACCCAATGATGTTGATTATCGGCGAAGGTAACTCGAAGCTTTTGCGAGCATCGGAAGCCATCGACGATGATTCACTGCAATTGTTCGGGGGGGGGGGGGGGTATTCCCGAAGCATCGGTGAACGTTCACCGGACCATCCCCGATGCAATTTCTCATGAGACTACTCCATTTTATTTCGGCAAAAACATTGGGATCGAGTCATTGGGAGAAAATTTGTTTATTTCCATATCGCCGATAATTTTTCTCCAGTGAGACCTAGGCATTAGTTACGCTACCACCATCTTTCTGAAAAATGACACCAATGGTGGTGTATTTTAAAACTTGAATGTATTGACTAATGGGTCACCTAGGAATTGAAACGAAATGGGGTTTAACATCCTAATTTTCTGCTACACCAGGCGAATAAAGACAGGATAATATAATTCCCATAGCGATATTCAGAAGTCAAAGATGTCCGATTGACTTTGAAACTGTTGTACGGGACAATCAGTGTATAATTTGTTTTAATCAAGCCATATTATGTTAAAAGTTACCAATGCAAACTAATTTTACGAATTTTCTGGGGTCATATGAATTGGTCTCCTGGTTAACGATTAATATTTACATTTCAGATGAAAAGCAGACATCAAGAGTCGGGATTATAACCGCTAATAATATTATGATCATTGTAGCTTTGGTTATTTTAAGATAGTCATTTTGACCTATTTATTCTATATTGATAAGAGAGCGGGATTTTATACCATAGTCATTTTGACCTATTTATTCTATATTGATAAGAGAGCGGGATTTTACACCATGTCTGGATACTTTATATAGTGTTGACATATAGTTAAGTTTCGGCCAGCTATTATTAATACACCAATAATAGACCCATTCTTACCAAGGGTAGGTAACATAATATTCAACCTGTCATAGGTTAAAACAGCAAGGAATCAACATCAATGATACTTGGATCGATAACTTACTTGTAAATATTGTATATTATTATGTATATTATTATATTGCTATCATATAATTTCGTGTAGACGTATATTGTCAAATTCGCAGGGAATGTTTATTTTAGTCAAAAAGAAGACCCCTAACCAAATTAGATTTTGTAGGTTGCAACTTATGCAGTTATCGCCCGCACGTTCACGTCCCAATATACGGGACAAAATTTAAAGGGGAATTATGGGGGATTAGATAAAGAGTTAGCAGTTCTTGCTATAAAAGTTAAAACAAATAGATAACGTAAATAGAATATGCTGAAAATTTCATTCAAATTGCTCCACTCTGAACCGAGATATTAGCTTTTGAATTTTAGGCTAGCCCGATCATCATTACTAAAATCGGTACGATAAAAAAACAAAGTCTCGATTATCCTTTTAAACGCTTAATTATGCTTCACAAAATGTATTCCAATCCGCTGAATATCACGGGCTAGCTATGATATCGAGAGTTGATTATGGTCTGGATAAGTTAATTAATGTCTAATTAATAACTTAGATTGTTTAAATATGCATTATGTATAATTTAGATAAAGAACAGGCAGTTCTCGCTAAAATAGTTTAAAAATAGACAATGCAAAATGAATATATTACTTTGTTCTCAGGGAAGATATGAATGTTTTTAGTTTGGTAAGAATAGTGTAGTCTCGATTTTCATAGCTAACATTGTTAAGATGGTAAACAAAGTTTGTGTTTACGCCAACTAGTGGTCTGACTGTTCGCGTGTAGTACGGTTTACTAAATGCCTTAGATGTTTCATAGGCTTATACCCCAAAGGCAAAGTGAAGGTCATTTTCCCCCTCACCATGGTCGCTAATTTATCAAGACCAGTATTAGCCGTGGTCCAAGCGACAACTTGTTCTCATAAATTCATAGCTCGGGTGGCGATTCCCCCCTTCAGCCACCGGACTATTGCAAGTAACGAGGGGTCATATGCCTCCAGTTTGTCTCACTGTAGCTGCGAACAATTTTATGCCCGCCACTGTAAAATATGACTATATTTATTTATTGAACAAATTGTTTTTAGAGCTGATTCGGGAGCCCCTGGCTGCAACCAAATACCCCCCCCCCCCTCCCACCTTGAATCGGCCCTGGCTTGAAGGATTGAGATTATAAAATACGTTCTACGAGAAATCTGGGGTAATGAAAAGTAAGTCACAGGGTAATTGAATTAAATATATTCGAATTTTGTTTATTAAAATTGTCGATTAGAATACATATTTATAAAATCCAATAATGTATCTGTATATATGACGTATTGTTTTAGAAAAAATATTGTTGTATATATGGCGTATGATCTAGAATTTTATTTTGTACTGTATTTTACACATAATAAAAATAGTATTATATTTTAACTAATAATTATTTTTCTAAAAAGGAATAAACGCTTGGCAACGACTCTATCCACGATGTTATTCTAACAGAACATCTAGTCTATAATTTGGGTCTTTGGTGCATCACCCAATTCAACTTCCCACTGGAAAGATATTGCTAATCATATTTTCACCTAAAAAAAATGACGTCACAGCCTATAGCTTCCCTAAACATGACCTAGAAACAAATCAAATAATTCAGCACACATTATTATTTTTATCAAATTATTGCGACATGTTGGACTCTAAACATAGGAACGTCCAAAAATATAGGTCAAGAAATGTAATGGATTTACACAGTCTGTTTCACAGATGAATTGCAAACGTCTTCAAATAACTGTATAAGATGACTGTATTTTGTTTACATTAAGACGTTGTGGCTGTGAACTGGTCTGGTCAGAATGCCGCCTTTTACTCGTTTAATATAGCCATTTACACTAAAGAGGAAATATTTATTATTTTTCTATTATTTCAAAAAATTGTTCTAGAATTTAATTTGCAGAAGGAAAAATGTTAATATTGCGAGCTCATTAAGACGAACCGATGTCATCCCTATCAGTGATTGTAGCGGTCTAGCAAATATTCACTGCTGGTCAGTGTGGGATTTACATTGAGGTTTTATTGTAACATGCTTAAAGGCTCAATACCACCCCTGTTGTAACTGGATAATATGTCCCAATCTTTATTCTGGTCAACAAATTGTACTATTTTACAATATTCCAATTAATTGATGATACAAATTTCATCTTAACACACCTAATTTAAAAAAATTGGAAAAATTCAACTAAATGATTTGAAAAGCCTGACGTAAAGCTTTTCAAGTGTGACTTGGATTTAAAAATATTTTTGAACCCTCTGGACTAGTAAAATAGTATTAAATGGACAGTTTACACAACAGGTAGGACACTAACACATCTAGTACTTAGAATAAGGCTATTTTTTATTTTTTGGAGCTGTCAAGCCAGCAAGAGTGTTATTGTCCCTTTAAGAGTGAATCTTGCGTTTTGACTGGTCAATTAGACACTGTCGATTGGACAATAAAACCCCTCTGTTTTAGTAATTTCTTTTGAAATCCTAAAATAGCATGTTACAATGTCGATAAACATTTCCTGTTTCGCATTTAGAGGGGTGTTATTGTCCAATAGACATGTCCTGAGATCATTAGGACCCAAGACGCGTTAGGACCCCTCTAAATGCGAAACAGGAAGTGTTTATCTCCTAAATGGATATAGTATTAGGACTCAGACGATAGTAATTATTTTAGTGCGAGTTATAAATAGACAATTTTTCCTTAATTTTTTTCTCCCCTCTTCCTGCATTTTGTGGTTGACTTTTTGGTCTAGAATTGGAGAAAAGGAATCAAATTTGCAATTTCATAGCAGTTTTGGGTAATACTAGTGATATTAGAGCGGAGGGATAGGGGGTGTAAAGTGTCTTTCTGCAGAGCAATCATTGTGTCGGAAGTGAGATTTTCACCCCAGTCAACTTCAAATCCCCGTAGCAAAAAATCTAAATGGTCAACCCCCTACAAAATTATGATGAGGAGATTGCCAAATGTGGTCCCCATTGTGCCTATAAAGATTGGAACCAACGGAATGTTGAGCAAAAAGCTACAGCCTGTGATGTTACAGCCATTTAACATTGAAGTCAATGGGCAAATAATTGCTATTCTGAGACCATTACTGGTCACAATCCAACCACTTAATGTGGATTATTTCCCTTAGATCAGATTTGTTTATTAATGCATCTTAAAAATAGTGACACAATGTTGTGACTGACAGAACTTTCGTTTACCTGCAAATATTGTGAGAACAGTTAATCAAACCATATTATATACGATCCATGATCAAACGGTGTTTTTTTGTTTTTTTTAAAAACAAAATGGGATAGGCCATTGGTGCATTAGTCATGCGTGACCCTTAAATGTTCTCTGTGGTTTTATGTCCCGTATCTTGATTAGCTCTAGTTCAGCTCTGAACGTAGTAGGGGCGGATCTAGAGGGGGAGTTTGGGGTCCCCCCCCCCCTGCTCAGCTACATCAATTTTTTTTTGTAAAACAACTTTTTTTGTGAGAAAAGTGTCATAATTGTACTAACAAAATTAATGCTTTGCATCAATAATTAAATTGAATCACAATGTCATCGTATTAATTCATAATAAAAATTGACGTCAAACAGGATGTTGGATTTCTCTGTTTAAAAAGCTCAATGTGTATGTATATACGCCAAAATGACAATAGAGACCATTTATTTCTCAAGCCGAGGGAGGGGGGAGATACATTTTCTCAGGAACCTGGCAAACCCCCTCCTGCAAAAATTCCTGGATCCGCCCCTGCGTAGGTCTCATTACATTCGCCCTTTACGTTCAGGAACTCTCCTATTCAATCCTTGTCGAAACTGGGATCCGCCCCAGTCAATCTTACTGGGCAACTGTTTACTGCTAAACGGTGGGGTGTCAATCCGTGTGAACGCCTGTACAATGTAAAGGAACATCTTAGTAAGAAAATAAGACCTTGCTTACCTCGCTAGTGTCAGTATGAGCGACACAACACGCTGTTAAAAAATACGTCTCCGTCTTGTAACCGACTTGGCGGACTTCATTGAAAGGGTAACGCACAAAGTTACGAACTCGGCCATATAAGATGAAACGAAATTTAGGTAAGCCTAGGAGAAAAAAATTGAAATCTTTGAAAAGTGGAGAATCTTCAGTGATTTATTGCTTTGCCTAGCCAAATTACAATAATTTACAATCAAATTCTTTCAAAAATTCCAATTTTTCCCCCAGGCTTACCTAAATTTCGTTTCATCTTAAATGGCCGAGTTCGTAAATTTGTGCGTTACTCTTTCAATGGAGTCCGCCAAGTCGGCTAGAAGACGGAGACATATTTTTTAACAGCGTGTTGTGTCGCTCATACTGGTCCTAGCGAGGTAGGCAAGGTCTTATTTTCTCACTAAGATGTTCATTTATATTGTTCAGGCGTTCACAGGGACTGACACGCGACCGTTTAGCAGTAAAAAGTTGCCCAATAAAATTGACTGGGAAGCCATTGGAATTTCGACAAGGATTCAATAGGAGAATTCCTGAACGTACAGGCCGAGTGTAATGAGACCTACGTTCAGAGCTGAACTAGATTAGTTCTTGTACTCGACATATATTTAGCTCCGCCTTCATGACTTTAAGACGTCAAAACTATTTCGTTTTAAAATGTCGAGCAAAAGAGATGATTTGTAACCGTTTCACGCCGGATTATATGCTTATTTGTAGTTGGATTTGGCAGAAATTTACAATAATCAATCGTTTGAAGAAAAAAAAGAAAAGAAAATCTTGGTTATTGAAGTACCATCTGAATCTAGAGGCACTCAGAGTCGAGAGGTGATTTTTTTAAAATTTAATTAAACCATAACGCGGTCGTGACAAACAATACAAGCTATAGATATTAGTTTAATTTGATTACATTTTATAGGCCTATCAAATCATGATATTTTTCTTGATTAATAATTTGTATTCGTGAAAAAGTTTATGTCTGTATTTAAAATTAAGATTGTGGTGTAACGGATTTTATGTTAAGATAAATAAAATTAACTAATTAAAAAATTGTAAACAGGCCGACTTCAGCTAACTCTACCGAAGTTAAACTTTTATCCTATAATAAAACTAACCTTATTAATCCTTTCATTTAGTCCCAAATGGTGGCAGCAATAAGAAATTCGAGGTGCACATCGAAATGACTGTACAGGTAGGTATTCATAGCTCTATCAAATCGTGAGCAAAGTAGTAATAGCCCCGTCTTCTTTAGCGCAATCGACAGTAGGACGTTAAAACCCATTTAATTTCTCTATCTTCTATATATATATTTGTGACTGTCGTTTGTCTGTCTGTCTGTTCGGGGTTGGCGGCTACATTAGGTCTTCCCCGAGTCTGAAATTTGGGGTATAGGGGTAGCTCGGACCGGGGAGTAACATAGGCCGTGGCGTTAGTCTACCACTTCCGGTTTCGGAGTTATGACCCCCGAGCGAAGCCGGTCTGTTCGGGGTTGGGGGCTACACTAGGTCTGCCCCGAGTCTGAAATTTGGGGTATAGGGGTAGCTCCGACCGGGGAGTAACATGGGCCAGGTGGCGTTAGTCTACCACTTCCGGTTTCGGAGTTATGACGCCCGAGCGAAGTCTGTCTGTTCGGGGTTGGCGGCTACATCTGCCCCGAGTCTGAAATTTGGGGTATAGGGGTAGCTCGGACCTGGGAGTAACATAGGCCAGGTGGCGTTAGTCTACCACTTCCAGTTTCGGAGTTATGACCCCCGAGCGAAGCCGGTCTGTTCGGGGTTGGCGGCTACACTAGGTCTGCCCCGAGTCTGAAATTTGGGGTATAGGGGTAGCTCGGACCGGGGAGTAACATAGGCCAGGTGGCGTTAGTCTACCAATTCCGGTTTCGGAGTTATGACCCCCGAGCGAAGTCTGTCTGTTCGGGGTTTGCGGCTACACTAGGTCTGCCCCGAGTCTGAAATTTGGGGTATAGGGGTAGCTCGGACCGGGGAGTAACATAGGCCAGGTGGCGTTAGTCTACCACTTCCGGTTTCGGAGTTATGACCCCCGAGCGAAGCCGGGTATCCTGCTAGTTCAGTAATAAAATACAAATTAACATTGACGATTGGATTACTTTTATATCAACATACACACTCTCATACATTCTACAAGGCACAAAATACAATATACAATATTATGTAGACAAAACATAATATTATAATATACAATATTATGTAAACAAAAACGTAATATTATAATATACAATATTATGTAAACAAAAACGTAATATTATAATATACAATATCATGTAAACAAAAACGTAATATTATAATATACAATATCATGTAAACAAAAACGTAATATTATAATATACAATATCATGTAAACAAAAACGTAATATTATAATATACAATATCATGTAAACAAAACATAATATTATAATATACAACATCATGTAAACAAAACATAATATTATAATATACAATATCACGTAAACAAAAACATAGACAGGCGGAAAATAACGGCCCTTCAAAAATCGACTCTGCGGTCGAGGGGGATAGGGAGAATTGTGGTCGATCGGCCTAAAATTGAGTGGACCGAACTGTCCTGAACTGAACCGGGGTTATCTGTGCAGAAATTAAGCACGGGTTATACAGCCTTAAAAATCTACCGGATCGAATCATATGCCCACTGTGACCGTGGCCTGCTGTAAATTATGAAATGTGGGGGTTAGGTATGCCCTGCTTTAAATACTTACAGAAATGATACTGTATACATGTGCATATCGATTGTAATGTGTGATAAAGATAAAAATAACAAAATGAAATGGAAGTTATTGATTAATAATGTAGTGCAGTTTAAAACCCGAGTTGCCAGTCCATAATTCATCAGTTCTAAAATGAACGAGAAGTTGATGCCAGTTATAACGGTACGGGCTGTCAACATGTTTACCACAGTATCTGAAAGACAAAAAGACAGTGGATTTTCATAGTTGATTAATATTAAGAAGTTGTTACGAAGGATCGCTAGTTTCACCCGTATCACCTCAATTTCCACTTCGGTAAGGGAGCGACTTTTATTTCGCTAGCCTTTTCTGGATTTTTTAATGGTTGGATGAAATAATCAGACCAGGCTTCAATCAGTCAAATTGGCAAATTCGACCTTCCGTATCTATTGATGCATGCATGTCAACATTATTGGTCGCCAGCTAGGGTATTTTGTATTACTTACCTTTGCCCAACCTTTTCAAAACCATAAACTTTAAGTTCTAAATAATCACAATTACACCACTGACAATCACCAGCATTGTCTGTATCAAACGCTTCCACATTTATAGATATAGTCGAACCAATGGGACCCTGCAATTAATCCAGAAACTGATAAATAAAATGTAAAATGTTTACTACTTACGGTGATTTTTAGTGATCAGTTAAATATAACCATGGCCACTCGAACGAAAGGCACATTGTGACAAAGTTTAGGAATGAATGAAAGCTAACATTAACATACCTTGATTAACCAATAACAGTTTTCGGTAATAGGATATTCTCCTGGATACCAACTAGATGTTATAGTTCCACGACTATCTGATAAAATAGTTCCTCCACATCCTGATATAGTGAAAACATAATAACAGATTATGAAGAGTAGAATATTTCTGAGTGTAAAGTTGCCAAGGATATAAGAGTACCATAGAACATAAAGGTTATTTAAATTCAAAGTTCATGAATACAAATTGACAAAGCAGTGTGATAAATACTACCAGGATAACGTGCCAATATATATATATAGAAAGAGCAGAAATTAGCTTTAATTGTACGGATAGCCATAATACTGTTCTCTTCGCAAAAGGCAAATTATTGGGGAATGGCGGAATATGTTTTATTCTCGAATTACTTCCCCTTTTTACAATTTTGACTTTATTCAAATTACTGGTTCCATACGCTTGATTTAGAAGTTCTTGTATGACTTACAATGTCGACAGCCTAGTCATGTGTGTTCCTAGTCCATTGTTAGGGTGCCCACAATATATAAATATCTCCAAATATCTCGACAATTACACCACAATATCTATATATACGTGTACACCAAGCCTTAAATCTGTTTCAAACATTTATAGTCACTAAATAAACGGTCATGTTGTACTTAATAAGCTATGACCATTTAATCATCCATAAATAATACACTGAAAAATGGTTCCGATTGTCATCCATAACATCCGAGCACATGTAATTAAGAAATAGGTTACATGCCCTTGTTTTGAAAGTAGTCTCGCTTAACCAGTCTACCGAACATTCTACGTTTGATCAACAGGCCGGGATAATTAAGACTACTTTTTTACGAAACATAACCGAAAGCTGGAACAAAAAATTGAATTTAGAAACACGCACGTTGGGCAACTCAACAATTGTTTAAAGAACCTTGTAAAAGTAAAATGAAAATACGGCTAGTATCTGTAACAAAATACTCTTTAACTTTCATCAAATTAAACGGTCATTTAGGTGCTTAGAACTTTATGACCTCAGCTGATTTTTGATAATATATGATATTGACTTTTCAACTCTGTATAAACTTCTCTTAAGGCACGGACTGACGATGATCTAATTAAACATGGAATTAATCCCATATGTCATTTACAAACTACATATTATGATCTGTACACACGTTCCGCTTTACTTCAAAGGATATACGTACTGGTCAGTAAGCATGCCGTGACGAGATAAAAGAGACAATTGCATGCATGACCATGTGTCCGAATGTATATAACGAGGAGTTTGCTGACAGTTAGGCAGTCAACTAAAGACGACTACAAACAGGCGGAGAAGAGAGGCTTGGACGAGTGCATGGACTCACCCGAGTTAGCCGCTGCCTTGGCAGAGGGGCAGAATGGTGGATTTAATATTGTTAGATGTTTTACTATCGTAGTCTAGTACCTGTATATAGTTTAAGTAACTGTATTGCTGTTGTAATTATGTAGATGTGTTATATTCTGTTCCCGTTGTAAATAAATGCTGTATTTACTAAACTGATCTCTGTTATCACTAAAATAGTGTTACAGTTATCTGGTTTTGGTGCATCGACCGGCGATCTCCATACGAAATTAGTACCCACAGTATCTGTTATGATGCATCGACCGGCGGTTTCCATATGAAATCAGTATCTATATGCAGGACTGAATTGTTTATCTGTGAAACCGTGGGTGACGGACGGACGCGAGCCAGCGTCTCACCCACTGAGCCACCGTGATCCCCTCGAGATAAGCCACTGAAGCGTGTACATTCGCCGTGTCGAGACCACTTTCTGTACGGAAAATTTGGGGTGCACGGGTCACCCTGCCATTGTTATGTGTGCCCATCCTGCACTTACTATTACAGTGCATCCCACGTTTCCACATCAAAGGCCCTGTATATAAGACGATTTTAGTTCCGTTGCCACAAACCGTTAAAGAGAAACGCGAAGGGAAGTATAAAGCAGGCCCGTTGAAAGTTATTACCTGTATGCGAAGTTTCAAGTTCATTACAAGCTTCCCCAATAAATCCTTCCGGACAAATACATTCACAGCTGGGACCCTGGTAGCCTTCGTTGTTACATTGTCTAGGTTCACAGTGAGCTTAACAATAGAAAAAGAAGATACTTGGTTAAAATCATTTAGTAAAATTACTGTCACGAAAGTCCAATAGGCTTAAGTTGTTCATCAGTCGACTCGATGCGTATATATTATTCTTTAAAAAAAAAAAGAGCAGCGGATATTCAGAAACAATACAAAACTGCGGAAATGCACTGCTGTTTTTATTAGAGGTGACCAGTCCATGTTAATAACAGGCCAATTGCCTACATGTGAACATAAACAGTTCACATGGGCGGCTTATCTGACGGCCCCATTTCACTCGCAAAGAGATACACTGTCAAAAGTGAAAATGGCATGCGTCGTGGCATGCTCCTAATCAACCGTCCAATCACGATTTGGGGCAATCTGACCCACACCTCTTGCAGTGCCACGGCCAATTCTCGCAGTGATGTCGGTTGACGTTGACGTCGACGAACATGTCTCCCGATCAAACTAAAGCAAAGATACGCTAAACAGTAAATCTTATGCAAGAATCGGTAGGAAAGCAAACATGGATAGGATAAACCAGCAAGCGGCAGTTTTCACCAACCCTTCCATGTAGTGTCAAATTTGACAATCAACCCCTCCCACGTATATGTCGCTATTGCGTGTCGCACATGCAGTTCGGTGGTTCTGTTGGGGCAATAAGTTCTTCATCTGTGAACATACTCTCAAAGTATGTCAAGTGTCCATGACCATTTATCATATCACAACCTACGTATTTGTATTTCAATATCCCCTGAAATTTTTTTTTTAGCAAATATCAAAGGAAAAAATGGTATATCAAATAACGACTGAATGACCCATTAATGAAATTGTATACCTGTCATTATAGTTGTCATGAGATATATTTTAAAACATACCATTACAATCATATATGTCATTGATTAGGCGTAAATCAAGGAAACTTGGAGCATCTCGTTGGCCGATTGTCATCTGGATATGAGGATCGTGTGTCTTCACGGTTATGTGTCCATTCTTGGTGTAAGCCTGTAAACAAGAATTATTCTAATTTCACTAAATATGATACTCTATGTGTACTTTAGGAGTGAGAATTCGTCGTTTATGTATTGTTTCTCTAAATGTGTCAATTAGTGTTGCATATTGACATATTTGTGTCGTTTCTTGGGTGGGTCACCTTGATTTCATTAAAGATACATTATGGGAGATTAGATAAAGAGCTGTTAATTCTCACTATAATAGTTAAAAACTAGATCATGCAAAGGGAATTTGCTGAAAATTTCAGTCAAATTGATCCACTCTGAACCGAGATTGTATCTAGTTTTTAACTATTATAGCGAGAACTGACAGCTCTTTATCTTAATTATACATAATACATCTTTAAGAAATATGTTGATCTCTCGTTATTGTACAAACCATGAACAAAACCCAGTACTTTTCCACAGATAATGCTTTTTAACACGTGTTACTGAAGTAATTAGTATATATCTTTATATACACCATAAATCCAACCCACAAACTTGTGACAGGAGATATTTATAATAACATCCGATAAAAAACACGATATTGCCATCTGCATCTACAGATGTCTTAATTGTAAGATTAGAGTAAGAAAATACGAAAATTATACTAGGCTATATCTAAAATGGGTTTTTGTAAAATTGTATTCGTCAGAGTTTGTGCTAATGATCACAATGACATCTATACAGATCCAATGCAGGTGTGTAGTAGCGTAAACCAGTCAATTAACACTGTTTATAAAGTTGCTAAATAAGGCTAGCTCAATATTTAAGGTTGTGATTTTGGACGGATTGAATCACAACGTAAATCGAGACTACGGTAATCTTGAAACTTCGCTCAGAATGTGAAGTAACTTGACTAAAACTTTCAATATTTGTGTCTGTCTGTGTGTGTGTGTATGTGGGGCGGGGGCGAATGGTTAGCGCGTGCGCGTTTTATCATAAAGTCTGTCATTGAGTCAACTGGCGTGGTTTCGATTCCCCAGCTGTTCGTGATAAGGTGTACGGTCGCCAGTACAACATCGTGGGTTTCCCCCGGGTCCTCCGGTCTCCTCACACTGCTGAAGACCACTGCACGCAAGAGATATTGAAATAAAATTGAACCATATGTTAATTCCGAAATGACCTAGTTTGTGTCGGGTGGACGTTACCCCCCCCCCCCTCTCTCTCTCTCTCTCTCCAAAAACATGGAATTGTACGATTTTAACCAAGTTTCTTACCGTGGAACTATAATGCATGATAGAGCCAAAGTCGTAAGGTTCGCCGTATGTCGTAATTGTACCATCGGGATATTTATCAAAATCATGTGTCCTCGATGGTATTATATTATTAAATACAATCTCTACATTACCATCACGGTCAGGTCTAGATTGTTCATGAACAAATCCAAGAGTGTGTCCTAGTTCGTGTATGATTGATCCTTTCTGAAAATTAGCAAAAAGTTACATTAATGACAAACATGTGTAGTGACCCATCTTCCAGGGATCAATCTAAAACAGTGTTTCATTTGACAGGTTAGACATATCCCCGTGTACGGAATTGCTAAGTGATATTTGAACGCTATTTCGGCTTGTAAGTGTATCCCAAATCACAGCATTACCAAGGGTCTTCGACATTACCAACCCGAATTATTGGTCCATTTCAATCAATATGGATATTGCCGTCTTATCGTTAAAATATGGGCTGTTAATATCATATATTTAAGACACATCTAACAGCAGTACACGCCGGTGTGCCGGTCTATGCTCCCGCGTGCGATTTGTAATAAACGTCATTGCGAAGTGAAATGCAAAACCGTACTTCCGATGGTTAGATTTATTTCAATTGCACACTTGCAAATTTCGTCATAGGTCACGATATGTAAACAGGGCTAGCGCTAACCCAAACCCTATCCCAAGGCCTAGCCCTAAGCCTTAGCCTAGCCCTAACCCACAATCCTCGGTAACAACCATGTGCCCTAACCCTGTGACCTTGGGGAAATGTGTGCATGTGAAATAGATCTAGCCTACTTCAAATATATATTGTACTTACCAAGCGTCATTCGGAAAACCCCGACAGACTCAATCCGGTACTCTACATCTAGCCTCTATAGAAGACCAAATGGGACAATATTCACGATTCTTGTTTCTACATTCCAGTTTGAACATTTTAGACACGGACGCAACATTCTAAACTAATGATTCTTGTTTCTACATTCTTATGTCAACATTTCATGCACAAAATCAACATTTTAAACAAAAAATTGACTTTATGTTTCATTTTCGGCGTTTTATCGGTAACTTTTATATATCATTAAATATTAAAATTAAAAACTAATTTCTAAATTTTACACGACAAAGAAATCATTTCATTGGTGTCTGAAAGTATCTAAAAAAGTATATGGAAATTAAACTCTTATGAAAATATTTTCTACGTTTCAAAAAGTCTTGAAGTTAAAATCTTGAAATGAAAATGTCCAGAAAAATATAATAAATTATCAACATTATTATACCAGAGGGCGTTAGCGTATGTGTACAACTTTGATACAAACTATAGATTTATCATCCATTTTTGCCACATTCGAAACACGCGTAGGTCTAATTTGCAAACACTATCCTATAGTTATAGTTAATAGTAAACAAATAACAGTGAATAGACTCCATTTAAAAACAGCATTATCATCCATTTTTGCCATATTCGAAACACATGTAAACATATGAAAAAGTAAACAAATAACAGCGAATATGTAAGAAAGGCCTTTGTCCTAATTTTTCTAGCTTTTTAAATTATAGAAGTTATTTGTATTGTTATTATATCTCGAGCTTAATTTCTGTTTCATGCAACTAATTACTGTAAACACAACAGGGGCCCACTTCCACTCGTGGACAAGTCTACTTTTGATTTCTAATCTATAGTCTGTATCAAAGTTGTACACATACGCTAACGCCCTCTGGTGTAATAATGTTGATAATTCATTATATTTTTCTGGACATTTTCATTTCAAGATTTTAACTTCAAGACTTTTTGAAACGTAGAAAATATTTTCATAAGAGTTCAAATTCCAGATTTTTTTTAGATACTTTCAGAAACTAATGAATTGATTTCTTTGTCGTGTAAAATTAAAAAAAAAATTTTTAATTTTAATATTTAATGATATATAAAAGTTACCGATAAAACGCCGAAAATGAAACATAAAATCAATTTTTTGTTTAAAATCTTGATTTTGTGCATGAAATGTTGACATAAGAATGTAGAAACCAGAATCATTAGTTTAGAATGTTACGTTCGTGTCTAAAATGTTCAAACTGGAATGTAGGAACAAGAATCATGAATATTGTCCCATTTGGTCTTCCATAAGCCTCGGCTATATGAGAGCTAGATGTAGGAAACTTGAGTCTGCCGAGGTGTGCCGAACATGAAACAAGCGCGAGGACTGCGCATTAAGTTTTAATTGCCCGCGTATTTCTACTTAAAAATTACAAGTTCTAAAACATGAGTGTAAATCAGTTTATATACATTCATTTTAATTAGATTCCAAAGAATAGAGATTTATCTCCTTTGCTGCATTATTAAAATAGATGATGTACAATATTATTAACATTATTTAATTTCGCGTGTAAATTACCAACTTGTGTTTATATACAATTATCATGACATATTTGTTTACATTTGACACAGAAGCTTCCCTTTGGTTTGGATCTAATAACTTCGTTTAGTTTCACATGTTTACGAACTTGTGTTTATTTACAATTATCATGACATATTTGTTTACATTTGTTTGATCTAAGAACATTGATTGAAAAAAGAAAACACACACTAAGGAAAAACAAGGCTTTGAATGGCTCTCAATAGCTGAAAACCAGTTTCAGATAGCTCCACATCGCCAAGTAGTATGAAAAGATAATGTAAGAAATTTTAATCCTTTCAAGTGCATATGGGTGAAACTTATTTTTTTCCACAAATCCTAAGGTATTCTCTTTTTAAAACAACAACAATAAAACACTACGCCTATTCCCAATCTCATTTAGATATTCTGAACAACATATTTGTTTATGAAAAAAGTGTGGGTGGTCTTTGACCAGAATTTTCCTTTAAAAGGGCAGCGAAAATGTTTATATTAAATAACAGTTAATATACCTACCCTGCATCTACCTATTGTTATATTTTGACCACCAGGTACCTTGCCCACGCTAGTTATACAACTAAAATTAGAAAACATAAAACATAATCTGTTCGTTATTTGTAATCGTATATACAATTATAGAACTTTCATGGGACAATTATATATTACTTTGCCCAATTAATGTCCTAATCACGTAGATCCACAGGCTCCATAATTCACCCGATAACGGATAATTTTCTAGCACGTTATTCCACAAGTCATTATAGACTTCCCATTTATGACGCCAGCTACACTTAAAGCATTAGTCCAAGATATACTTTATGGATCAAACGGGCTAATTCAGATAGAAATATTCTTTAAAACTTTTTCATGTTAGTTATTTCAACTACCCGAAGATCTGTGAGTGATACTTTTTGGGAGAAATAATACAATTTGAATAACCGTGTTTTTATACCTATCGAAATTTCCGATGGTAAGTTATCGCCGCGATTATCAAGTCACTCACATTCCTGAAATATGAAATCCCTTCAATAAGTTATGTAGCTTCGTTAAGAAAATCTAACAACTATTCCCGAACCGCATATTATGGTAGCGGAGCCTCGGTAGGAAGTTGACTGGCTAACCTGGAGGGCGCGTGTTCGATCACTGCATTGGTCGCGAAAGTTCATCGGGATTTTACGGCGTAGTTCCCCTTGTCAGTGGTGCCGGACAGAAGGCCATGCACGGGACAACGTATATCCGTTCGGATGGGACGAAAACCGAGGTCCCGTGTACACATTGGCATGCACGTTAAAGATCTCTTGGCGAGATGGAATTCGATATAAGAGTAGGCCCTAGCGCTGCTGTCCGGGCAAAATTTCCCTTATAGCACACTGTATGGCGTATGCCATTCTTTATAACCCAGTCGGAGCAAAACAGTAGGACGTTAGACCCCATTTCATTTCCTATTACGGTAAATTATTTTCAATAGTAATTTACATCAGTATCTAGATGTGATAATTTTGAATATTTAGGATTTCTATCCATTAATATCGACCCCAAGAGCTTATTCTCTGTCTTCTGTTACGTTGACCCTTTAAGTGAATTTTACTTACTCTTCACCATGCGAAATGAATACTGAATCAGTATGACCAAGTTGAGCAGATAACGGTGGTGTTGAGTACCGAAATTCTACACATGTATCCCGTTCCCAAACATACATGGCATCAGTTACCCATTGTCTGTGATATGATGCTGAAACAACCAAATGTGAATAGATTTCAACTAGGATTTCACTCTTTCGATTTGACGTAATTTACAATAGAATTACATCACATAAGTACAAATAAGATTTGTTTTTAATTCTAGTAGGCCCAGTCGTCGCTGAGATAAGCCGTTTTAAATGTCAGGTTACGAGTTATATAGACTGCATATTGATTATTGCTGCTCATGGATTTAACGAAAAATGGCGAGGCGTGCCTTATTCTAAGGTCAAACCAATTCAATTTTTAGCTCTTCGAGGTTTTCATAAATAAACCAATCAACTTTTTAGTAAAAATTTCAAAACTTACGTCTTTGGAACTAAAACCTTTTGAGAAGATCAAATAAGTAAATTATTATTTTTCCCGGAGGAATTTGAACAGATCTTCTCCAAGACATTGCCCCTTTAAAATGTTATTCGTGAACTTACATAGAGTTGGGTCTAGTGTATAAGGGACGATCCCATACGGCCAGTATCGTCGGTAATCTGCTATGGCTTTCCTCTTCCATAAATGTCGTGGAGCGCCATGTGTTAGAGTTTCAAATTCAATGTATCGCTTCTGATTTGGTGTAAGGCGCATATCAAATTCTTGAGTGTCATTTCGGTCGTTGAATTCTTCATCTGGTTTGGGTAAACCTTTAGCTGACTGTCTCTGTAATACTGCTAATGGGTCTTCACTGTTTGGTTTATTGACAGATATCTGTAGAATCCGATATTTATAAAAAAAAAATTAGATATAATGAAAACAATCTTTCAGTGGAATAGTAGTCGTTCGTGTGCACATTGGCGAGCACGTAAAAGAAGCCTTGATATTTGGATTTCGATATAAGAATAGCCCAGTCGGTGCAGAACAGTGGGACGTTAAGCCCCATTCCATTTCATTCAGTGGAATAGTAAATCTCAAGAAAATCTTAGCAAGAAACTTTTTTCCGCATTACATTGTTTTGCAGTTATCCATTGTTTATCAATTTGGGCCCACCGAAAATCGGTATAAGTAGAATATATTATGGCCACAGATCACCAACGATTTCCTCATTGACTTTAATGTTAATTCTCGCCTCTTAGACCGGCTCTAACTTTTTGTCAAATTTTCGTTGGGTCGAACGCTTTCTACCACCGATGGAGCAACGTGTAGCAACCCCTTGTCTACAAGCACGTATGAGGTTCATCATGAAATACTTGAGATACACAAGCTGGAAGTAGAGACCACTCAACATGCAATTTTCCGCCCTACATTTCAACCCAACCAACCTCTTAACTCTTGTATCCTTCCGCCCCAAAATCATGAATATTTACCAAAACCAGGCAGAATATGTATATTCAAACCATTTCTTTCAATTCTACACCAAAAAGCCAACAGAGGGGGGGGGGGGGGAGAAAAATGGGGAGAAGACTAAAAATAGCTTAAAAATAACTGGTGAGCTGTGTCTATATTAAATATATTGCCAAAGACAGTAGAGCATCTATAAGTTAATATTCCTTTTCATACTCTTGACAGAATAACAATTAGTCAATTTTCACCGTAATGGTTTTGCTTTGAGAATCCGTTTTCAGGAAATAACTATCTAGTATCAGGTCTAGAATTTTTCAGCGTCAGCCAATAATTATAAAATCGTATTTCCATTATCAACGGCATATTGGTAGTGATAATATAAAAGAAAGAAACAAAAGACGTTAGCGGTTATAATTAGACATTGCTATATAATTGATAAATTACCCAACAAGGTTGATATTTATAACTTCCTAACGAATCTGAAAATCAAAGTTTAGTTATCGAAACCTCATATTGTGCTTATCAGATGTAACATAACAACGTCGTTGATAATCGTCAATATATCAAGTTTAGTTTAGTTATTAGAATCTGATATTGTACGATTATTAGCTTTAAAATGACATTGTTTAAAACTGGTGAATCAAACATGTGATTCTACATTGCAATATTTAACTGGATGCACTTTTGTGTAAATGCATTGAACAGCGTTTTTGTCAAACGATTTCTTTTGAAAAATGGAGATAGTTGAAAAATGGAGATAGTCCACACCCAGTTTTCATCTATATTCCAACGAAATCTTGACAATGAACATAACCGCAAATGAAATGCCTCCAAAATCAGACAAAATTAGTCATTTTATTCTTAACTAATGTGTAGAGTAACCCGGCTTACGAATCGGCGGTTTGATTAACAGTTCTGGAACTGTTTTCTTTAACATTTATATTGTTTCTTAAACCAAATCCTCACAACCTGAAACCCGAATATTGTCTCTTTTTTTCTGCATGTTGGAAAGTATCATTTAATTCATCCTAAGCTATTAGAATTGTATGAATGTTAGTAACTGTTTTAACGGGAGAAGAATTAACACAGGTACCTCTTCTACTAGGAGCCGAGGTAGGTCAGTGAGTAAGACAATGGATCGCTAACCAGGAGGGGCCTGGTTTTGATCCAGGTGGTGGCCTAGAAAGTTCCTCGGGATTTTCCGGCTTAATTTCTCCGTGTAGGATGTTTGACCTCCCAAGGAACAGCGTCTAGTCATTCAGATGGGAAGAAAGACCAAGATCCTGTGCACATAAAAGAATCCATGAAAAGTAGGCCATAGAGTAAAATTTCCCTTATAGCACACTCCGTGGCATATGCCCATTTTCATTAACCCGGTTGCTTACAGAAAAGTAGAACGTTTAATCCCATTTAATTTCCTCTCCTGCTTTTGTAAACTTATGTAATATTTGATAGAAATAAAATATAGTTTAAACCAATTGTCCTTTTGTCGAGCGCTTAACCCGGTCACAGCCATGTGGCGGAAGTAAAAAGAACCTTGGTAAATAAATGATATACAATAAGTTCGTGATAGTTAGATTGTAACACGTACATATTAGTTAAAAATGTAGCTTCCAGGTTGAATAGATGGCCTATGTTAATCTTAGACTTAACACATGTCTAACAAATAGGCCAAGATTTGCATTGTACAAATAAAATGTCTTTAAACATTTTCAACAACATGCTATAAAACCCTTTGAATATTTGTCCTTTGATCCTAACGTATATGGGAGCCATTGAGTAAGACATTGGCTCGCTAGCGGAGAAAGTTCATCGGGATTTTCCGCCGTGGTACCTCCTTTTCAGTAGTGCAATACCAAGGGACTGGCAAAAGACAACGTATAGTCTTTCGGATGGGACAAAAAACAGAGGTCCGGTGTACACGTAAAGGATCCTTTGACACTTGGAATTCGATATAAGACCAGCCCGTTCCCGTTAGCCCAGTCTGAGCAGATCAGTAGGATTTCAGTTCATTTCCTAACGAAGGTTGTGTAGCTAAAACACAGAACTCGCAACCTAATGCCCCGATTCGCCAAGCCCGGGTCCCACTTGCTTGTCCGATATGGCGCATGTGCGTTTGATCATGAGGTCTGTCATTGAGTCAAATGACGTGATTTCGATTCCCCGCTTGTACGTGACAAGGAGTAGGGCCGCCTGTCCAACCTCGTGGGTTTTCTCAGAGTTCTCCGGATTCCCCCACCTATTAAAGAAAATTGAACCATATGTTAGTCTCGAAATGACCTAGTTTGTGTGAGCGAAGTTAAACTCTCTACTATGTTAACTTCGCTCAGAATAAAGTAATTTAAATGAAATTTTCAATATATTCATTTTTCAGTGTCTATTTTTGAATAATTCTTACATAATGCATTTTTAAGAATGGTAAAACTATTTCTACAACGAGATTACTTGTTTGTTTATATAAGTTAATTAAAAATGCAAACTGTGCATTATCTATTTCAACCCAAAGTTCATTTACAAATTGGATACGGATGCTAAAAAATGGATTAGCTGAAAAGATAATGTCAAAAATAATGTCACTGTTTATTCTAGATTACTGTGTCATGGCTAACATTTGACTAACATTAGAATAATCCCTTTTAAAGCTGGAAATTCATTTGTAAATATATTATGGATAGACTATGCTTTAAGTTACAAATGACAATTCAGCTAATTACACTTCGACTTTCATGTGTCTATCATACCTGGGTGGCTCAGTGGTTAAGGCGCCCGGGTCTCTTTGTGTGTTGTGCAGAGCGGAGGACCTAATTAGCAAACAGCGTCCAGTGGTCGACATGCACGTAAAAGAGATATCTTGACAGTCCGAGCACCCCCCTCCCCCAGCCCACTATCTCTCATATGCGTATGCGCGTGTTAATTAGCCAGGTTGGTGAAGAACAATATCTCTTTAAACCCCATCTCGTTTGATTTCATTTCAAATCTTCAAGGGAATTGGTGACACGACCCTGTATTTTATGTCATTTATGCATGCCTGCGTGACATTGGCATGTAACGTCACTGCCCAAATGCTCATCTGATATAGGGGTCCTTTTGTTTTACAAAACAAACTCCTTAAATCATGTATTCGTTATATTGATATACTATATGTTGTGTGAGTTTTTGAAAATAAGGCCCATTCTACCATTTTGTGTTGAAAACTATTCCAGGGATCATACATAAACATTCTGTCGCCACAATCAGCAGGAAACCAATGTCTTGGATGCCATTGTATTTCTGCCATTTTGTATGGGCAGTAATTTGTTGAAAATTTTGGAAACTTTTCGGCTATCGTAATATGTTTAACAGTCTGGCATATACAAGACTAAGGATAAATTGGCCTGTCAAGAATAATAATTGTCAACGGTGATTTGTTGACGATAGTTGGAAATCTGCCTATGTTTCCCCACACTGGCAAATATTCGCCAGCAGTTAATAATCGGCTGCAAATAACCGTTGTCATCTGCTGGCTGGCCGTTCTTGCTACAATAGTTCAAAAATAGATAATAAAAATTACTTTATTCTGATAGAAGTTATGGGGTTTTAAAACGTCTGGATTGTCAGTTCTTTTATTGAGTGACGTCCATTTTAACCAATTTTATGGCGCGGATTATAGAAATATATCAATGGCGCGGATGCTCTAATCGATTTAAAACTCGACCATTCGATGGTTTAGAGCATTGATTATTAGTTTGCCATGTGAATAAATGCCTAAATAATAATTTACATAATATTTTAAGCCAGAAACACGTCATTATCTCATACATAACGTATCTTTAAATAGATTGGAAGAAAACATGAAAATCTTACCTGGAGCGGTATTCCTGGAACTTTGTAAAACAAAAATGATATAAAAACGAACACAATATATTGAGCCATGGAAAAGTTAAATATGATAAGGAAGCACAAGTACAGAAGTGAGACTGAAATATAAACTGGTATGATTTGGCATTTATATAAGCGACACAAAATTCAGCCTGGAGACATCGGATAACCTTTAAGTCGGATTAACACAAAACAATAACAGAGCTTAAAGATGTACTGATTTTTAAAATAACACAAGCTTTTGTGATTGCGAAGGACAGACAACTTATGGATGACGCTATATAACACATATGTCAAAGTTGTGATGTCAGATGTCCTAATGTACTTTCGTCCCGTAGTTTTTCCATCGGACGGTGAACATCGAACGTTTTTGCAAAGCTCGTGCCACACGGTCAATCGGTAGGATTGCTAGACTGATGTCTCGTATGGAAATAAAAATATATCATTTAAGCAGTTTTATCTTAAATATCCCTTTTTATTAGATCGTATTAGGTGTTGTGCTAGAAGAAATAATATTAAGAAGATTTATGAAATCCGCTGTGTTCTAGTCAGTTTAATTCTTTAATATTACAATAGATTATTCAAGTTCTGATATTAGCACGTCTGATTTCTACATAAAAGAAGGTGGAAGTACGATTATTTCTAGGTCGACCGGGAAGTAAGTATATAAATTATAACTGAGTACAAATGAATATTTGCCAGTGTGGGACAACATAGGCAGATTTCCAACTATCGACAGCAAATCACCGTTGACAATTATTATTTTTGTGAGATTACGATAACTTTTACAGTACAGTAGTTCTACTAAACTGCAATCCGGAAGTCTAGAGCCAAGCCCATTCTATAATATACGAATGATCCCAAGAGAGAGAGAGAGAGCGAGAGAGAGAGAGAGAGAGAGAGGGGGGTTTAAAGTTCACTTCACACAAACTAGGTCATTTCGGGACTAACATAATAATATGGTTAAATTTTATTTCAATGATTGGCTTGTGCATAGCAGTGGTGTGTGGGAATGGGGGCGCGGGGAGGGGGCGTTGGAAGAGGATCCGGAGAAAGCACATGAGGTTGTACAGGCGATCCTACTCCTTGTCACATACAAGCTGGAAAACGTTAACCAGAAGCGTTAATCACCCCTACCCCCCATTCGTTGACCTCAACATGATATAATTCGCAGATTAGTTATTCTTTATTTAGTATAAATTTACATTCATTTATCTACGTTGATTATACGGTTTGTTTTATTGCAACATGTAGTACTATTCGATCTTTACGCTTCACGTTGCCCTCACTTCCGTGACAAAAATTATATCTACAGTTCAGGTTTTGTTCTTTCTTTTTTTATTTATATAAAAAAAACTTCTAGCATTAGTCACAAATCTTCTTCGCTCTCAAATCAGTAAATGGCTAATATGTCAGGCAGTGTGAGGCCTGCCAAATACTATCACACCACTCTATTTTATAGTGCCCACACCTTAATTTGTTTGCGTCATATAGACTGACCACGGTTCCAGTTAACAAATATGGAATAGGCATACCCCCTACACTGCACTCTCGGAGGGACTTATCAATAGACACATTCCATTCCTGACCATGAAGATGACATATAGTTCAATACATGTAGATTTGTATTATTTCAGGTGTTATTTTTCTCGACCAAGAATCTATAAACAACTATTAGTGAATACGATAATATTAATACAAACATTCTGAATTGATTTATAGGTTTATCTATATTCAACTAGTTTTTGATTATTTATATATTTTATAGCCCCGTTACTGTGAATGTATATTTACATTATGAAATATAAAATAATAAACTTTTATAGATATCAACCAGTTTTTTATTCTTCATTCTAATATATACAACAAATCATAAGCTAGCTATTGAGCGTATTGTTATAATGTATATAAATAATTATAATAAGCCAGACAGTTTTATACATAGGTAAAAAATGTTTTAAAGTACATATACATATAATACATAATATGACATTTCTTAAGTTCGTCTTCCGGGTATAATATGACAAAAAATATAATACCAATTTGTAGAAGACATTAAAAGACATTGCATAACTGGTCTTTTGGTAACCATTGAAATTTTATACCATTTTGATTTTGAAATGTATCTTTATATCCCAAAGATTTCGATTCCATTCGATATTAGCGCACATAGCCTAACTTCCTGATTTTATGACTCCCGATAGTACGAAAAATCTCTTTTTATACGCCACATTTTCATGTGGACGTATTATACCGTCGCCCGTCCGTCCATCCACAATTTGTTTGTGGACACTCTACAGGTCACAATTTTTATCCGATTTTGACGAAACTTGAACTATAGGTCTACCGCACATAGATCTCGGTACGTTTCCATATTGGCATGTATCGGAGCATAACTTCATGGATTATGCCCCTGATTGTACGAAAATCACGTTTTTAGCTTGTGGACCCCAAAGATCTTGGTTCCTTTCAATATTCGCGCATGTCGGATCGTAACTCCCTGAATTATTGCCCTTAACTGTACGAAAAATCCGTTCGAATATATCGAATATTTCACCGTTACAACGTAATGTCAGTTGAGTTCGAATTTCGTGAAAATCAGACAAAGACTGCCGGACAAAATGGCCGCCCCTCGTACGCAAATAGTGTAAACATGGTATATCAAGGTTGTGGACCCTCTAGAGGTCACAATTTTGATCCGATTTTGATGAATCTTGAAATTCATGTTCATAATCTAAAGATCATGGTTCCTATCGATATCCCCGTATATCGGATCATAACTTCTTGGATTATGGCCCCCTAATTGTTCGGAAAATCGCATTTGTAGCTTGTGGACCCGCTAGAAGTCCCAATTTGTATTCAATTTTGAAAACCCTTTAATTACATATATCACCGTTACACATCAATGAAGGTTTAGTTTCAATTTCGTAAAAATCTAACCGAAACTGCAATTATCGTTTCGTTACTAGAAGCTATCGTGATTCTGTGATAACTAATACATCTAGGAAATAATCAATTACTAAGTCAAATGTTTCAACAGTCTTATTACGAGTCGACTGTGCATTCAAGAGACCAATTTTCAATGATGATGATAGTTTTGTTTTCTTTTTTTAGTTTCTTTGCTTTCTTTGTGAATCCAGAACACCCATCTTTTTACATTCTTAAGAATATGGAGTGTTGCACCTCGTAAAAATTTAAACTGGTTAACAGATAACATGGTAAGTTGTAGTTTTGAAATGAGTTCCTCTCTAGATATCTTAATCACATGCGAGTTATAGTTACATGTAACTGGATAAACATCAGTCAAATATTCTCCTTATGAAAGTTACACTGTATGTAGCTTGAGATATATAGGTCGCAATTCTATGCAATACAATTACTGCTTATTACTGAGCGACGTTTCGACTAAGCTTCTCTAGTCATTATCAAGCAATGATAAAATATGAAAATATAACAGGACAATATATGCATGTGCACAACAATACCTGGTTAATGCTAACTAACCAGAGATACCCTTTAATTACACGTATACAAACTGTTAGTAACAACATTCAATACGGGATGTAGACCACTTTAGCTGGAATTAACACAAATTGATTAATTGATAACTTGTTGTGGAGTATATACAATGATATGATCAGGTTTTAATAATCACAAACCCCGAAAGAAAATGAATTGATTAATGAAATCAGCGACCACTTTAATTGAAATTAAAACATATTCCAGTTCAATTACTAAATGCCATTGAAACAATTTATTAACTTAAGAACCGACACGAAGTCAAATGACCGACATTAATCGACGATTTTAGTCGAAAACATGATGTATACTTCAAGAGTTATAAGAAGAGTATGTTCTGCTTCCATTTCATAAAATCGAAAATGATTTTTTTAATGTTTGTGTGTACGAAAGGTGTAAAACGGATTTAAACCACAATACAACCAGTATACTAATGGTCAGGTCTAAATGTTAAGGCCAACTGGAGATTTCCCCAAGGTCGCGAGATTTAAATAGGGTTACGGCACGTAATTGTTGGAGAGAGTGTGGGTTAGGGCTAGGGTCGGGGCGTACCTATCGATTTACTTTGGGGAGGGTGGGAAGTGTTCCACAAAAATGAGACAGACTCCTTATACTTGTGACGCAGTCACGAGCCGAGCTCCTCCCCGCGCTTTCTAGGAGGGGGGGGGGAGGGGGCATGCTTCCCCGGAGAAATGTTTGAATCTAGAGTCCATGAAATACTATTTGCTGGATTTTGCAGAATTCTGATGGTCAGAAAACACTTATAATATGAATAAATTTGAGTACTACGCATGGGAGTTCATGTTATTTATTAAGATTTAATAAGTACTGTGAATCTGTGACAACTTATGAAAGTGATAATTAGATCATTTACGTGGACCTATATCTTCGATATATTGTTATGTTGAGTATACACAAATTAGCAAAGATATGACTATTTCCTCATATTTTCATCAAGCGTCCGCGCTTAGTCCTGTTTGACAACCGATCTGCGATTTGGTCAAGATCGATCGTGTCTGTGAGGTCAAGTTCACACACAAGAGTTAAAGATGGGTTCCCGCGTACAAACTGGGTGATGTAATGGTATATATGGACCAAAAACATATTCAAACTAATTAATTTGTCATAATTATGCTTCAAATCCTTCTCAAACATTGTAATTGCGAAGGAATGCACTGCTATTAAAATTCGATCAAACCAGGCCATGTTTACGTCACGTCTTAGGAGTCAGAGGAGAATTCATTGCATACATAAGACGACGTTGTCTTTAATCGCTTACTATTTATTACAAATATCGAATCCTAATTAAATTCTCGGATTATCCACTACCCGCGTCTTTTTCCGTCATTTTTATCTCAGAAAGTATTGTACGTCTAACTCAACTTGTACATCAAGCGCTCAATGTTCGCTTGTGACCTTTGACATCACGCGTGCAGAAGTTCTTAATCGTCGGGCTGTTGATTAGGGGAACCCTTACATTTTTGTCCTGTATACGCTCCATGAATGTTTTTCGGGGAATCCAGAATTTTTCTAGTAAGATTGGATATCTCTACTTTCCATATATACCAATACTTTTCTGGGAA